TCTTCCTCACCCAGCTCCTCCTCTTTTTCACCCAGCTCCTCCTCTTCCTCACCCAGCTCCTCCTCTTTTTCACCCAGCTCCTCCTCTTCCTCACCGAGCTCCTCCTCTTCCTGGGACAACTTCCTCTCTTCCCAGACAGGCAACCTCTCTTCCTGGGCCCACATGCCTTCTTCGTGGGCCAGCATAATCTGCTCCCAGTCCCACTTCCTCCTTTCTGGGGTTGTCTTCCCCTCTTTCAAAGTCACTTGCTTTCTTTTCCCTAGAAGTCTCCCCTTTCTTCTAGTCCGTTTCTTTTCTCTTAGGCCTAATTTTTTGGTTAATTTGTTTTGTGGGGAAGCCAGTATTTCTTCTTCCAAAGCTATTTTTTCTTTTTGATGGGTCAGTTTCTTCTTATCCTTGGTCAGTTTCTCCTTTCTCTGCATTAATTTCCTCTCTGGCTTCCTCAGTTTCCTTTCTTCCTCAGCTATTTTCCCTTCTTGCATGGCCAGCTCTTTTACTCTTTTTTTAAATTTCCTTTTCTCTAAGACTAGGTGATCTTCTAAGAAAGCAACTTTCTTTTTCTTGACTACTTGAGAAAATGCCTTGCCCTTCTTTAATATTGTTTTACCCCCTTGTTCTCTCAATCCTACTGTCCCTTCTTCCTTGACCTCTTTAACCACTTTTTCTGTCATGACAGGTGGCTCTTCCACCACTCTGTCATCCAATTCTGATGAGTCCTTTAAATAGGGGCAGATCTCTTGGAAGAGATCCCAGCTGGGCTGTCGGGAAGCAAGCATCACCTGAGCCAAGTCCACCAATTCTTGACCCAGATCCCTTAACATTCCTGGATGGGAACTTGCTATCCTTGAGGTGACAAGGTAGCAAATGTCATCCCGCCAAGACCTAGTGTCTGTTCTACCTATGCGTCCAGGGGTCCCAGCCAAACCACGGGCACTCTTTTTAGGTTTCTTCCCTATATCTTTTTCTTGCTCAGTAACTTGTATGACTTCTTCTTTGGGCTCTTCTACAGTTGTCTCGGAAATATCCTTTGAATATTTTTTCTCTTTCAATTTCACATCTGCTTTTTTGAGGCTTTTTTTCATGGCCCTTTTCCAAAGCCTTTTCATGTATTCTTGTCTTTCCAGCTTAGGGATCACCTCGCCATAGTCTTTCATGCCATGTTGATCTACGGCCTTCATAACCTCTGTGACCTCCAGGGCTTCTGTGGCTTCCATGGCTTCTGTGGCTTCCATGGCTTCTGTGGCTTCCATGGCTTCTGTGGCCTCCAACATGACCTCCTGTGATTCAACGTCCTTTTGGGATCCGACTGGGCTGAAAGTACTTAGTGTTGGCTCTGGTTCTAAGGCAACATCCTGGGTGTCAATTTGCCCTGATTTCTTGGCGTCTCTTTGTTCAACTTCATCTTCCGAAGGCACCAACACAGGGCTAAACTTTACAAATTCTGTCTGTCTCTGCTTCCTGGAAACTTTCAGATCCTTTTCAACTGCAGAGATATTGGGAGAAAAATAGTTAAGAAAAACACAGAGGTCCTGAGTGAGATCCTTTGTAATATCTAGTTCAATGAACTACCGTAAGAGGTCAAAGGCAAAGGGGACTGAGGCTTTATGGTACAGAAATGCTTGCTGTTTCATCCCAGCTTCCATATCCTAAAGAAATAAGACATTGGTATTTGTTGTGGGGTAGGTCTTTCCCAGGAAGTTTACTTTCTGTGAAAAGGATTCTCCTTACTTAACTCTGTTCCCACTGGAATCTTTTTATATACGTTGGCCTTACAGGCCTTATAGACTCTGCCTTTTGGTGTCCTGAGGTGGGCACCAATTACCCATGGGGTATGGGGTGCCACATATTACCCCATACATACTAAGATTTCTGCTCCTTGCTTGAACACGTGTCATTCTCTTCCTCGGCTTAGTGATCCTTTCAGGTTCTGACAAAGGTATGAGTGTTTCTTCAGCAAGGGCCTCAAGTTCACCACCCCTTGATATATCTAAAGAAAAAGTAACTGGTTGGTCTCTACTTGACAAGGTCAGGTTTTCATTTAACCGCCGCTCCACGTGAGTAAGGAGGAACTGGATATCTTTAGCTTGAATCCCCAGAAGCTGGTCCAGAGAGGCTTCTCCAATAAATTGCTGCCTACAAAAGTCAAGGGAAAAGAAAGATAATACTGAGCCAGCAATAAAACAAGATTTGAAGAAGAAAAAGAGGAAGAGAAGGAAGAAGGAGAGGAGGAGAGGGGCAGAGGGAGAGAGGGGAGGAGGGAAAACTAATGGAAGAGGCAGAAATAAGTAGCCACTTAGGACAGAGTAGTCTGAAGTAAAGGATGGATAAAGAAGAAAGAATCAAAGATAGCAAGGAATAGAGTAGTCAGGGTGACACAAGATGCTTCTTTGGTTGGGAGATTTGTGGACTTGAGTGTTAAGGAATTTAAGGAAGTAAGGAAATAATGGACGAGCAGGCTAGCCAATGCTCAGAAGAAAAGGGGAGGCACTGGGGGAAAATGTGAATAAAAACAAAGAACATAGGGGGAAGAAAAGAATAGACAGAGTTGTAGAAAAGGAGAAGAAGCCATCAGATTCTGGAGGTTAGGAGCTAGAAGGAACAGAAGGGACGAAGGTCACCACCAACTTACTGCATTTCCTGGAGAGTGTCTTGTTTCTTGAGCAGGCCTACCAGCATGGTCTTAGTTTGGATGCCTGTGACTCTTATCATAAGGTATAAGGCCTTAGTCCGCACATTTTCATCACTGTCCATCAATCCCATAGCCAGGGGAATAGCAAAGAGATGGCTCATGAGGCCTAGCCTTTCTAGCCCCTCCCAGGCTAGCTCACGGATCCATGGATTGTAATAGGTTGTATCTTCAAGGAGGCGACAGGCAGCCTCAGAGCGCAACTTTGCAGACACTTGATAAGTGGCAAAAATTTGTGCCAAGACATGAATATATTTCTTGTATTGCTCTACAGAACAGCAAATTGTGAGGTTGAGGATGGCCTCGATTAAATTATTTATACGTCCTTCATCTAAGTTTCTTACCATCCAATTTCGGTTTGTCATGCTTACAAGAACATCTAAGAAAGTTCGTTTCCACTGCTTGGGTTTATTCTCCCGTTTACTCATTGAGATTTTCTCTTCTACTAGAGTCCTAGGTGACAGTTCAGTCATGTCCCAGTCCTTATCTTGGTAGGATGGGTACATATCACAGCGTAGGAAGATTGGGGTACCCTCAGGCCAAAGGCGGGCACGGATCACTGAGTTGGGGATGTAGCCATCAGGAGCAAAGGGCCATTGCCGTCCATGACCAAAGAAGCACTGTAATATATGGTAGGGGTTCAATCCATCCCAGCCAGCCAGCCGTAACTGAGCAGGAACCACATGTAGGGGACGATTATGTTTGGGGTCAAGAGTAGAAAAATCAACATCCTTATCCTCCAAAAAATGCAGTTTGGGTCCCTCTGTAATCACAGAGGACATAAATCTTTCTTCCTCTACAACATGGGGCACAGTATTGTCGAAGGCAATGACTCGCTTGTTAACAAGGGCCTCTAGTCCCTGTAATTCCTGCAGCCCTTGTCCAAGGTAGACAAATTTGGGTACAAATACTGTTTCAAAAGAAAAGAAGAAGCTAGGCAGGAACAGTTTAGGGACTTCTTGTATTTCATCAGCACTGTTTAGGATAGTGAGGTGAATCAGCTGAACTGGATGGAGCAATTTTAAGCAGGATACCAGGTAAAGACTCTGGTTGAAAGTCAAAAGCAGATCACCCCGATTATTGGCAAAGCAGAGTGGGCCAAAATGCAATGCTGAGTCCAACTCAGTTATGAGTCTACCATGGAAGTCCCAGATCCGGACTGAGCCATCAATGCCCCCCGTGACAAAAAGTTTCAAGGAAAGGCAGACATCAAATGAACTGATGGCACACTCATGCAGGCATTTTGTCTCTTTCAACATAGAGCTTTGTTTTGATTCTGAAGATGTCAGAAAATCTTGGTAGTGCCAGAGACGCCAGCAGTGATTCTCAGTGATCGCCCCCACAGAACCCGGCAAGAGTATCACATGTTTTAGGGGACAGCTACAGAGAATTTTGCTGACAGGCTGCAGGATTACCTTGTTCTGAAGCACAGCTTCTGTCAGGTGGATGACGTTATCCGTGCCATAGGAACAGAGCAAGGAGTTCTCCTGGGGACCTTCCAGGGTAGACAACACCAATACAGCCCCAGAGTGAACAGTCGTCTCCGTTCGGGCACAGCTATAGTGGGAGAGGATTCTCACAATGCCACTCTCATGCCCACAGAACATCAATCCTCCTAGGCCCTTGCCCAAACAGGACTGCCCATAGGCCAGGCATCTTACTCTATCCCCAGGGTTTACAGAAGTGCACACAAGATACTTGGCTGTGCAAGGAGAGCGTGTTGCATCAAACACCAGCACCTCTGAACTGTCTGTTGCCACAAAGAGCTCCTCTCTGTCTGGGTCATAGGCCCAAGCCACAGCCTGATCCATGACAAGTAGAGGCCAGGTGATAACCAGGAGATCTCCTGTTACTGGAGACAAGAAGCGCAGCAAACCATCCTTAGTGGCACACAGGATTCGAGTCCAATTATGGCCGCAGCAGACCCGCTGCACCTGCTGGGGAGCAGAACCACAGACATTGAAGAGGCTATAAAAGTAGGGCAGATGGTGCAATGAGAAAGTATGGGTAGTCTGGCAGAAAAAAGTGGTGTTATCAATAAACTGCAGTTGCTGCAGATCCTCATCGATATCCAGCTGCCGCAGCAAGTTTCCAAAGGCAAGATTCCATTCCCTCACTACGCCCTCACTGCCCGCTGTTAGTAAGGTGTGGGTCTCTGGCCGGCTATGGACATATATCACTGATGAGGAATGGGCCTGGAAACTGTGGAGGAAGTTACCCCGGTCTAGACCCCAAGCATGGATCTCTCCATCCCTGTTTCCAGCATAGAAATAGCCCTGAGAGACACAAGTGAATGAGCAGGTGATGGAGGAGCCACTGGCTACGGGAGTGAACTTCTTTACCTCTTCCAGCCGGCCCTGACCCTGGTGAGTGAAGACCCTCACCTTATTCTCACAAAGAGCCAGGAGGGAGCCCTGGGGGCCATTCAGGGAAAAGCCCTGCACAAGCTCACGGCCAGGCATGGGCACTGTTTGTGCCATCTGGAGCCCCTGGCCGTTTGGTAAGATAAACCAGGTAACCACGGCCCCTAAGGTACCAGAGAGCAGCATCTCAGTTTCTGAGTCGTAGCAGAGGCAGCTGATGGAGAAACGACAGGGCACTGTACCCAGAGATGTGAATGCTCGATGGTGATCTTCGAAGAGCCACAGGCGCATGTCGCCACAGTAAGCAATTAACATATGGTAGGACCCTGTGTGGACCATTGCTTTGATGGGTGGCACTTGATCCATCACATGAAACTTCATCTTCTCTATCTTTCCTTCCATTTCTCCATCTTTTTTCTGTACCCAAAGTACTGCCTAGAAGAGGATGAAAGAGGAAAGCCTGACCGTGGAGGCAGATTATCTCCCCGTAGTGAGGGGTAGGAAAGGGTTGCATGTTTAGATCCCTGTTCCCTCTTGTGGGGCTAAGGAAAGACTGGACAGCTTGACTTGGGGAGTTTCCTGGTACTAGGAGTCGGGTACATGATAGAAGCACCATGCTTATGGCTCTTTCTTTAGCCTTCAGTCTACTTTATGGGGAATATGAATTCTGATGACCAGAGGTGAAGAAGAACCACTCCATCCAGGTCAAATTGGACTATGGAGATGGATATTAAAATGAGCTAACTCAGAATCACCCTCATAATTTTGAGATGAGGGCAGTTTAGGTATGATGCATGTAAAGTGGATTAAGAAGGAGAAAAAAAAAGATGAGGTAGCTTTACCTGCATTTGTTTTGAACTCGGTTCCACCCAGTTTAAGGAGACAAAATAGTTGACATTCATGGAGTAGAAGCAGATGAAAGGCTTGCTCTGGGGATGGTGAGGCTCCTGGTATAGAGTCTCAGGCCAGTCACTCAGTACGACCACATCATTCTTTGGTTTTCCATCAGCCTGAGAGAGAAGAGTGGCCTGAGCTAAGAGGCCTGAGTCCCCACTCACTCATTCATTTAATAAATATTTATTGAGGGACATTTGCTATTGTTTAGCTAACCAACATTTATTCACCCTACTACTGGAAAGCACTCTTTGGGGAGTCATCCCTCCCTCACTCTCAGAATACATCCTAATTCATCAAGGTACCTTCAGCCTTTCTCAACCAAGGTTCCACAGGAGAAGTAAGCCCTAATGTCCTCAAGTATCCATTCTACACAATGAATTAATGTCTCTTGTATGCATCTAGAATGCTACTAGTTATGTACCTTAAGAGAACTGAGAAAACAGCCCCTCAGATCACTTTCTGTGTTCCGTGGTTCACATGAGGAGCCACATTTGAGAAAGGCTGATATGTTCTATAACAAACATTGGGGATACGATGCTGAGCAAAACAGTCACGGCCTTAGCTCTCAAAAGATAAGAGTCCACTGGAGGAAACAGACATTAAACAAACCACTAACAAATGACTGTAGAAAACAAATAAGTGCTTCAAAAGAAAGGAATACAATCCTATGCAAGTGTGACAAAAGACCCCAACCTTGGCAAATATCTCTACCTGTCACAGTTGGAACAACACTTCAAAGTTCCCGCCTACACCCAAAGCACCACTCCTGTCACAATCACACTCATGATATACTGCCTACAGGAAACTCATACTTCACAGACATAGAATGCCCACCACGTGTGACAGCTAGACCTGTGGCATGCACCTCCTTCACTACTCCTGTGTGCATCCAAGGGAAACGTGTGCTATTCACAACATGGAGTTAGCTGTGCTTCGGCTCTAACATTCTGCATTCTGACCCAATGGGGCTTGTGTGTGTGCATCTATCAAGGGAGATATGCACCTTTTAACATGTAACACAGTAGAACATGTACAATGCACACTACATTCCAGTGACATGGCATATATCTAGGATATAAATACATGAACTCCTCATACTGATCAGCCAAAATTGAGGCTCACGAAGTTTACTTTTGAGGTCCCTCTTCTCAGCAGATACTTATGCTACACCTGCCTCTTGAACAATGCTCCATGAATCTAACTCTCCAAGTTTTTCTGCATCAGAATTTGTGCTATGACCACTTAAGCTGGAAGGTAAAATACTGAATTAAACTAAAGTATTAATACTTCTTTACTCAAAATGTCCATCATGCCTGCTTCCTGTGTCCGCAAAAGATTTCAGACTATACTGAGGCCATTGTCTGCAACTCAGAATCTCTCTTCTCCCTGTATTTCTCATTTTCAGATCTTCGTGTATTCTGAGAGAGTACAGAATACAGAGAGCTGGAGAGCGTCTAGTACCCATTGTCATTACTGATTCAGTGACAGCAGCAGAGTTGAGAGAAAGGACCCTGGTGTCTGAGCTCCCAATCTTCCATCTCTCTTCAGTGAATCAGAAAGCTCATTTATATACCCCTTATTCCATTAGTTAATCATCATTCCTTTTCTTCTTTCCAGACTTCGTGTACAAACAATTAGTTCACTCATTCAGCAATATCAATGTTTTTCTACAGAGGACACTAAAAGACTATCTTAAACCCAAGCAATGTATCTGTGCCTGGCACTACTGTTGCCTACTCTCTATAAATCCCCCTTCCTTCCTCTTCCCCCTCCTTCCATCCCAATAAAACTCGGATCTTGTTTAGGGCGATCATGGACCCAGAGATTCTGGCAATAGAGTGGCACTGTGGTACTCGATGGCACAGCTCTGGGCTCTCTGACCTTCTCTCTTCTACCGACTTGCAATTTAAAGCTGATACCTGGTAGTGCAGCAACTATCTTGTAATCTTCAGATAATAAGCTAAAACATTAAGGATGGTGAAGAAGAAAGAAAAAGAACAGGGTCCTTGACAACATGTACAACAAAGCTGCCTCCTGCTTGTTTAATCCACGTAAGTCCATTTTCTGTTTTTTGCAGCAGAATGTGTTCTAATTATAACTCACGTTATCATCTTAATCTAGAACGGGGAGTTGTTCAGCGGTATGGGAGGGCCCTTCCAAAGCTGCTCACGTGTTGCCCATGCCACAGGCTGCCTTAGCATGGACAGATAATTCGTCCAAGCCCACCATGTGCATCTCTCTCATACACATCACCTTTATATCCTTCTGGATATTATTTATGAGGAGTTTCAAGTCCTCCCACTTAGGAATAAGTCTGGGTGAAGATGACATCCTTGTGTTATTCCAGCTCTTTACAGACATCTTGGATTATAGAACCTGTGGAAGATAAAAGTGACAATCACAACATCTGATGATAGACTGGAAATTAAGGGAATTGAGAGAGGGAAGAGCGACAAGGAAAGTTAGAGAAGGGCAGAAGCAAAAGTACTCCTTTAGAAACAGGAGGGACTCTTGTTTCAAAAAGATAGGGGGGAGGACGAACTACTGATACTTGCAAGAACATCGATGAATCTCAAAAACATTATAGTTAGTAGAAGTCAGACACCAAAAAGCACATAATGTATGATTCCATTTATATTAAATTCTAGAAAAGAGTAATTAACCTATAGGGACAGAGAGCAGATCAGTGGTTACGTAGGGCTAAGAGTTTGGGGGATTGCCTGGGAAGGTGTGAAAGAGAACTCCTTGCAGTGATGGGACTGTTCCACATCTTGACTGTACTAGTGGGTACATGGGTATATAAATTTGTCAGAACTCATCTAAACATACACTTAAAATGGGTACACTTTATTACATGTGAATTATACCTAAATAAATTTGATTTTTAAAAGAGGATAGGAGTGAAGCGGGAGTTTCGTGAAGTCTAGAAACAGGAAAAACTGTGGCAAAAGAAAGCTGTTGGGTGAGCTTAGGTGAGTCACTTATAGCAAAGCTGAAATGATAGAGGAGCCTGGCTTTCCAGCCCTCCCATAACTCTCTTCACTGGGATGCTCATGTTTGTAGACTAAATTTTGTAGACATAATTATATCTATCCTTCTTCACTACTGAAGCCTTCATGTATGTGAAAGTCACTCACTTGTTCAACAAATATTTACTCAGTGCTCATTATATGCCAGGCTCTGTGCTGAGAGCTGGAGAGAAAACAGTGACCAGGAAAGATTATCTGCCAGCATGGAGTTTACCATTTATTATGGAAGGCAAACACTGAACAAGTTAAAATAGACATCTAGTTTTGGCAAAAGCCTGAAAGCCTCTCACTACAAACTCAGTAAAAACTAAAATAACCTGAAAGCCTTTCACTACAAACTCCTGGAAATTCTAGATAAAATAACAAGTGGCTGAATTCCAGGAGCCAGAAACGAAGAGGTGGGGAAAACGACACAGCAATAAGAGCAAACTGCTTCTGTGATGGTCCTGAGGAGGTGTAGTTATCAGAGCCCCACACTGACCATAAGGGCTGGACCTAGGGTAGTATTGTCCTGGCAAAGAGAAGAGTTGGGACTTAGGCCCATAAGAGATAGGGAGCTGGAACTGAGACCCCTCCATTACCTTGGAGAGAGAGACTGCCATTGACAGAGCTGGCTCGTGCTCCGCTTCCTGAAAGCTTACACACCTTTAAACATTTTTCCAGGCATGAGTCAGGAACATATACACCTCCAAATTCCAAGGTATACCCATCAAATTCTCCACATGATTCTTTGACATCTACCTCACTTGGACTGACAAGGAAGAGAAGAGGGAAGGAGAAACACTACAGAGCATACCAACAAGTCTGTCTAAAGAAATCATCACTTATAAATCTACACCTGAGAGGGTAATGAGCTAAGGGTCACAAAAATCTCCTTCACAATCTCTTAGCATGCTCTGCATAGGTTCTCTGACATCTATTGTTCTTAAATGAAATTCCCAGAACACTGAAAGTCACATTTAACATCGTGTTATATGTGTATATTAAAAATTCTAAGGAGGGGCCGGCCCGGTGGCGCAAGCGGTTAAGTGCGTGCACTCCGCTGCAGTGGCCCGGGGTTCGCCAGTTCGGATCCCAGGCGCGCACCGACGCACCACTTGTCAAGCCATGCTGTGGTGGCGTCCCATATAAAGTGGAGGAGGATGGGCGTGGATGTTAGCCCAGGGCCAGTCTTCCTCAGCAAAAAGAGGAGGATTGGCAGATATTGGCTCAGGGCCGACCTTCCTCACACACACGCACACAAAAATGCTAAGGAAACCACCAAAAGGAAAGAAACAAATAGAATGTATGATTTAACTAGTTAGGGAAAGGGGATAGAAAATAAAGGAAATACAAATTAATCCAATAGCAGAAATATAAGACGAAACATAGGAAGGAAAAAGGAGGTATGATAAGTAGAAAGAAATAAGGTGATAGAAACAATTCTAAATATGTCATTACTACAATACATACAGACTAAACTCATTAGATAAAAGACAAATTCTCAAATTAGATTTTTTAAATGAATAAAGTATAGTTGTATGCTGTTAATGAGTCAAATCTAAAATGTAAAAACAAAAACTTTAAAGTATCATTACTACCATGGCGTCCTGTTCCTGAACATCATCTAAAAGCAATAAGGAGAATAAAAAGATCTTTGCAAACTCAACATTCAGCAGAACCAGGAGATAAATTTAATCTGTAGATAACAAATTACATGTAAGGGCTGAGAAAGGCAGCTGAAATCAGGGGCTACTATGACAAAGAAATTGGAAATAAGAAACTATGGAGAGAAATTTGAGCAAAAGAGGGACAAACAGAGGCAGATCTAAAAAAAAAAACTCCAGGAAAATTAAGCTTCATAAAGGTGAGACTCTATACCTCCTACTTGTAACTACAACTGCAAGAAACTGGGAAGCAGAAGCAGAGGAAGTAGAGCTGCTCAGTCCCTTATAAAAGCCATAAATGTGACTGAAGACAAGAAATGAACTTTAATGTTGCCAAAACCAGCTAGCCTGGAACTCTACCCTGACCCCTCAACACACCAAGGAACCTCTTACAAAGAACCAGTCCAGGAAAACCCAACTCAGACAATGATGTGCAAGAAGAAAGGAACTAGTGCTACGTTAATCCAAAGCTACAAAAAGAACTATGAGGGAAAAGAATAAAAAATAAGTGAATATATGAAGAGCATTCACTAGAAAACTGCTGTAATGGATCAGATAAAAATTATCACTAAATATTTTGTCATGAATGAAAAAAAATTAATAATTTAATTATCTCTATGATGGAAGATCACAAAGCAAAAATACAAGAACTAAGGAAAGAGATGGTAAAACAACAGAGTAGGATAAAAGGTGAGCAGGCAGAAATGGAAGAAAAATCAAATACCATAAATATAAGGACAAAACTTGAAGAAACACAAGGGAGAAAAACTCAGTAAAGAATATAGAGAATAAAAATGGGAAAAACAAAAAGAAACAGAAATAGACAGAATTACTTAGAAAATAAGTATTTTCAACAAATGATGCTGGGACAACTGAATATCCAAATGCAAACTAATGAATTTGGACTCCTATCTCACACCATATACAAAAATTAGCTCAAAATGGATCAAATACCTAAATGTAAGAGCTAAAACTCTAAAACCTTTTAGAAGAAAACATAGGTATAAATCTTTCTGACCTTGGAGTACACGATGGTTTCGTAGATATGACATCTAAACCACAATCAACCAAAGGGGAAAAAAAAGATAAATTGGACTTCATCAAAAACTTTTGTACATCAAAGAAGATTATCAAAAAAGTAAAAAGACAACCCACAGAATGGGAGAAAATATTTGCAAATCATCTATCTGGTGAGGGAACGGTATCTATAATATATAAAGAACTGTTACAATAAAAAGACAAGTAACTCAAATTAAAAATAGGATAAGGATTTAAAAAGACATTTCTCCAGAGAAGATATACAAATGGGCAATACCCACATGAAAAGATGCTCAACATTGTTAGTCATTAGGGAAATACAAATAAAAACCACAATGAGATACCACTTTATATCCACTAGGATGACTATCATTTTTTTTTAATTTTATTTATTTATTTTTTTCCCCCAAAGCCCCAGTAGATAATTGTATGTCATAGTTGTACATCCTTCTAGTTGCTGTATGTGGGACACGGTCTCAGCATGGCCGGAGAAGCGGTGCGTTGGTGTGCACCCAGGATCCGAACCCAGGCCGCCAGCAGCAGAGCCCACGCACTTAACAGCTAAGCCACGGGGCCGGCCCTAGGATGACTATAATTTTTAAAAATGGAAAATAACAAGTGTTTGCAAGGATGTGGAGAAATTGTAACCAAGCTGCCATAATTGGAAGTAACTGAGATGTCCTTCAGTAGGTGAACGGAAAAATAAACTGCGGTATATCCAAACAATGGAATGTTATTCAGCTATAAAATGAAATGAGCTATCAAGCCATGAAAAGACACGGAGGAAACTTAAATGCATATTACTAAGTGAAGGAAGCCAATCTGAAAAGGCTACATATAATTACTGTATAATTCCAACTATATGACATTCTTGAAAAGGCAAAATAATGGAGACCATAAAAAAATCAGTGTTTGTCAGAGTTGGGGTGGCAGAGATGAACAGACAGAGCACAGAGGATTTTTAGGGCAGTAAAAATACTCTTATGATATTATAATGATGGATACATGTCATTATACTTTTGTCCGAACCCATAGAATGTAGTACAACACCAAGAGTGAACCCTAAGGTAAACTACAGACTTTGAGTGATTACAACGTGTCAGTGTGGGTTCATCCGTAGTAAAAAAAATGTACCATTCAGGTGAATGATGATAATGGGGGAGGCTATGCAGGTGTGGGAGTAGAGAGTATATGGGAAATCTCTGTATCTTCTTCTCAATTTTATTATAAACCTAAAAGTGCTCTAAAAAAATAGTCTTAAAAGAAAAATATCTTCACTCAAAAATTTATACATGAATATTCACAGTAGCATTTTTCATAATAGCCCAAAAAGTAGAAACAGTCTACATGTCCATCAATCGATGAATGGATAAACAAAATTTGGTATATATATACATATACAAAGGAATATTATTCAGGCAAAAAAGGAATGAAGTACTGGTACAGGTTACAACATGGATGAACCTTGAAAATATGCTAAGTGAATGCATCCAGATACTGGAAAATTAATGCAAAATTAATACAAAAAAACTGATTACAATGAATTTCAAGTGTGAAATTCTGAGTTGTGGGGACATGAGTATTTGCTCTATTTTTGCTCTATTCTGTATACTTTTCTGCAACTTCTCTAAATTGAGAGCAAATTACAGCTGTAGAAAATGTTGAGGACAGTGTATAACAAGAATATGTAACAACAAGACCTGACTCCAAGGCCCTGGAGAGGGAGATGTGTGCTTCATATATTGAGATAGGAACCTTCAGAGGACAGGCAGCTTTCCT